CAACGTGATTATTTAGTACTAGTCAACATTAAGCGCATTTGAAGATCAATGGATTTTGAAAATATTCATATCTTACCAAGACATCCCCATTTGGTGTAATTATAGGCACTTTTTCAAAAACAATGACACCGTCTTGTGTGGTCACCCTTCCCTTAAGATCACTGGGCGTTACAGCTTTAACAGACATTAACGATAGTTAACAAATGTCTCCCTACTAGCATGTCTTTAATTCAGCTAAATATCATTATATACCTTTCACAGTGTTCGCCTCATTTACATCCTTGCTGACCATAGCCCTTTCATAACGACCGTTGTTAACATCCTCGAGCACATCAAAAAGCTCAGCCACGCGTGACTACAAAATATTGCACGCTGTTGGAAATAGTTTATCGAGAGCATCATAGTGGTTGGTAATACGACATACCGTATAACCAGCGAATCTAGTTAAATCACGCCCTGCCAAAATCAGCCGTCCAACAGCCTGCGAGAGATTAACAAGATATCCTGCTACAATAAGATTTTTCATGAGCATTACCGGTACTAAACCTTAACAAAAGTAGAGCAGTGTTGCGAATAACCTACAGTTCCTTGAATAATCTTCCATAATCTTTGTTGGATCAGCATCTAACTTGCCCATGAAGTCCGTAGCTATGTTGCAAGTGCAGTAAGTATTATGAATCATGAATCATTCTTATGTAGACATCCATAAAGGAAGATTCTTACCATATTTAGGATTAAAGACAGGCCTTGCTAGCAAACTATAATCGACTTTGATGAGTGAGAACATTAAACGGTTACAAAGGTAAGTGAAAGGAAATTAAACTTACTAGTACGCCGTCATGGTCGCGCAATATTTCACCAAGACAGAATCAATAATTCCATTGGCGAATCGCAATCTGTAGGTTTTCTTAACGTGACGGACGATCTTGTCAAAACTCCCATTAACCACAACTTTCTCACGTTCGCCGCCACCATAGAAAGCAATCTCTTCCGAGTGTGCAATGATGCGTGACTATAAGAAACACGAGTTAGTTTCAACCCTCTATTATAGAACTACCTCACAATATTAACACTTGCATGAGTGAAACGGAAATCGCCTTCTAGTTTTTGTTCAACGGCAGTAACTATAAGACATTAATAAATCACGAGTTCAGTATCACGTTAGAAGCGACATGTACAGTGCAATATGT